TCACCAGTGACTATCACTGTTCATGACTTTTTAATTCTAAAACTGTTTTTAAATTAGAGAAAACTAATTTACAAGTCCTTATGATTTAATTTAATTTTGAATTAGATTTATATATAATTTATTTCATTTTAATCAAGCCCTTATAATTTTATTGATTAAATATGTTAGTCATCCGTTGTTAGAATCTTTTAATTTTTCTATTTAAAAAAAATGAAATTAAGAACTTTTGTATTATATGTTCATTAAAATATTATACAATTTTATAATTGATTACACCATTTTTATAACTCAAAATTTATATAATTAGATTATGTTTCCTAAATAACTTATATATATAGAATTTTCATAAAAAATTTAATAAACATATAAATATTGTATTGAATAAAACTTTTTTGACTAAAAGTATTAAACCAAATTTTTATAAATTTTAAAATTATTTTTATTTTGAAAAATTCAATTATTCATTAATAATTTCAAACTTCAAGTACTATCATATTTAATCGATCAAACTATAATGGTTTGATTAAAACAAAGTAAATTATAGAGACCTAAATTGATCAAACTAGAAGGACTTGCAGAACAGATTTTATTTTATTTTTGTTTTCTTTTCAAAACAATTTTTAAAACTATATTGTAAAACTATTTTTAAAAAAACTTGAAAACACAAACAAAGAAGCTCTAAACTCCCCTCTCTCTTTCTCTCTCATCATTCAAAAATTTTATCACCTAAATTTGTTAAGATGATGTTAGCACCAAATTTTCTAAGTCTTAGAGTCTTTCCTAAAAGATTATAGGCTTGATTTAGTGATTATTGTTGAACTCAGGATTTTAGGCTTAAAAATAGAGAAAGCAATTAAACAGATGGGATTGAGCGAATCTCATAGGCTATGTTTGGTAGGAAGGAATGAGAGGGTGGGAGTGGGATTAGTATTAGATAATCCCACCTTTTCATGTCTGGTATGAAGGAATGAGAAATTTAATTCTAATATCAACCCTATCTAAGTAGGATTACTCAATACCACTACCCCTATGGTACTGAAAAATCAATTCCAGTCTTAATTATTTTCATACCAAATTAACCTCCATTATCTCCTTCCCTTTGCCCACTCCTCCTTCATCTTCATGTTGTCTTTTCACCATTGACGTCCTTTCAGACCAAGCAACGTTAGCGTCTCCCTTATCATTGCGAGTCTCTTATCCACAGATGTCATTGGTAGATCCATAAGGAGAAGGAGGAAATTGAAGATGGGAGAAGGAGGAGAACAATTGATGATGTCATCTGCATAATCAGTCTAAGCTCAAGCTATGACCACCATCGTCGACTTCGTCGTCATCTACATCCTCGTTGTAAAACTCCACTTATTAAACACATAACTAGCACATACTTAACCTTAAGATAGAGCTACCATGATATTTACAACTAATTTAATAATAAAACACATCATGATATAAAAGGATCAACCTTGGCTGTTTGAAAACTAATAAGGTTAAGTAAGAAAACCTTGTATAGATGAAATCTTATAATCATTTAATCTTAAGATCAAGTTTAAAATGTCATTTAACCATTATAAATAAAATTAAAATATATTTGGGAAGCATGAAAAACATTTAGAGTTGAAAACAAGTCAAAGAAGGTGAAAAGGGTTATTTTTACTTAACAGAGGCACTTAGTCACAGCTAGAGCACATTAAGCTGCTACTAACACATCCAGAGAAGATTTTGGCTGTGGCTAAATGGTCTCAACCACTCCTTCGGCTACGGCCAGCAATCCATAAGCCACGGCCAAAGATATGACAATACCTGTTATGACAGCTACTAACTCCTAACTTTCGACGTGTATAACTTTTGACTCAAATCTCTGATTATAGTGATTCAAGTGCCCGCACATCAATAATTTTATAATCTAGCTAATAGTTTTAGTTTCATATGAATTCAATATCACATGAAGAATCCGGACACCCGGGACCATAATTTCACATTTTTGCCTCTAAACCATCAACCAAGTGTCCAAATCTCAAATCATAAGCCATTAGCCAACATAAAAGGCTTGAACCACACTCAATAAGTTCTAATACACTTGTCTAAGTAGTCACAAGCATCAAACAACTCCTAATACAAGAATTGACCACCTAACTACTATAAAGCACAAAACGGGGGGTGAAAATATAATTATTTACATTTCAAGTTAAATAATCACCCAAAACATGTAAAACTCATCTAACTTGTCAAGATATACTTGTTCAAACTATCTTGCCATACTACCATAGTCAGACTAGGGGTTTAGACCCTTCTATGGCCAAGACAATCCAAAAATGACTAAATTCAATGTTTAAGGTTACAAATGCAAGTAGACTTCAAATAAACATAAGTCAATATAAAATACTCCTAGTTGGAAAATACTGTATTTAAATTACACATAAAAGATAAAACAAGAGACATTACAATTGATTACTTAGTCTCTAGCTTCATAGATCTCCCCTTTTCTTTTAGCTAAATCCTTACTTGTAAACATTGAACTACAAGAGTGAGATAAACATCTCAATAACCAAGTAATTTAATTAAGCATATCAAAGTGTGGCAATCACAATAATTAAAAATTTAATATCACATAAGGAAAACAAACATTATTCATAATGCATCTTTGTAATATGTTTCGCATGATCAAATGCAACTGCCTTATATCACTCCTTATATCATTTGACCAAATCCATGGGCTATTATCTCATATAAGTCTAGCCCATATGACTGGACTAGCCTCACTTTCCAATTGTGAAGGGTCACCTGACCAAAGGCTTCCACACTAACTCTCAGACCATAGATTCCCCTTACTTGAATTTTGGGGTATCATAAGTACTTTATCTATACCGTCCAATCTAGGATCGATAATAATGAGCATCATGCTCGACCCATGCCACAACCATAGGTTGTTGGCAATACTAAGCACATAAAGTAATGAAGTATGTCAGCCACAGTGTGTAAACTCAGTAAAGGTTACACCACATGGATTTTCTATTGTAATCCCTCTACAATATTAGGGTGAACTCCCACCCATTATGATCATGCAAGTACAATCAACATATGTGAATCTAAACTGATGCATATCATAGTAATTCATCATCTTCATAATTTTTCAGGGCTTGCATGCTTATCACAATTCTTCAAATATCATCAATTACAGTCACTCATCATGCTAACACACATTCATGTCATAACCACTCCAAGCTTAACATTTCATATTTCAATATCAAATAGCATCTATATAAATATAATCACCAAGCACTTCATCATAGTGAGCCATGTTTCATATTTGGGTAATAGTTGAAAATCAATAAATTCATCCATAAGCTCATTTCAAGCCATCCATAATAATGCTTAAAATGAAAATACAGATATAATGATATACCATAATTAAATTCCTGGTCACCTCAAATTTACTAATCAAGAGTACTCATGAATATTAAACGGAGCCTCCAATGAGATCAATAGCACCAATAATGGTCAATCTACAATCAAATACATCAATAGTCATTAATAACTAATTATCCTTAATTAACTCTCATTAAAACCTAAACCCAAAAATTCCATTGTGATCATCTACCCATAACCAAATCTATTTTTATGTTCCATTAGTTTAGTTAGACTCTTATTAGACTAATCAACACCATTAATAACTCATAATCTTCTTAGCTCAACTAATTAGCTCTAAGGTTTACTTCAAACCTCACTTTGAAATCCTAAAACTTCATTAGCACCACAACCCAAAGGTTAGATGTAGGATCCTGAATTTCTTAATCCCATAATTAGCTGTTAATCGAGGGTAAAGTGGTAATTAGTGTAAGATTAGAGATTTGGATGATTATTTCATAATTTAAGTTGTTAGGATGTTGTATGAACAAATACGGATGAGAGGATCATATTTTGGGTTGAAGTAAGTTTCCGTGATGAGAATTCTTCTCACTGTGCCACGCATTGCAACTTGTGCTACATGCCCCACGGTGCATGGACCAAAAAGTGACTTCTTAAGTTAGGAAATTTTAGAAGTAAGAAATCTAAATCATACAAAAGGGAGAGGAGAAAAGTGAAGGGTGTGCTAGGGCAAGATATTCCGGAGCCATGAAAGGTGTTTTTGATCAGTTACTTAGCGGGTAAGCTATGTATAATTGTTACCTTCCATTTTACCCAAATTTCTCTGAATATAAGTTATAGAGAAATTGAATTGGTGAAATTTTAGGAATTCGATTCTTGCACAATAATAATAAAAAGGTTCTCATGAATTAAATTAGAGTTTTGTGTCTGGTTTAAAGTTGAATGATAGAACTTCAAACCAGTGGGCTCAATTTGGTCCTAAGTTAAAGAGAGAAAGGGGTAAAAATTATGTTTGATTGAAATGAGACCGGTTGAGGTGATGTAAAGTAATAATTGAGTAGTAATGAAGCTAAGACAGATAAGTGAAAAAGAATATATGGTTAAATATAGCCATAAGTGGTAAACATGTGTTTTTGGTCAAATTAGACCAAATAACTAAATTGTGTCAAATATGTTTAGATTGGCATATTGAATGTGTGAGTTGAGAAAGGAAGCTTATGATAAGTTGTTGTGGTAGTTGAAATTTATGAGTAACCTTTTTAGTGATAGAGGGGTTGAAGTAATTGAATAACTTCCTTTGTTTGACTATTTATTGTAATTGTGTGAATATGCTATGTAGTGCATAAAAGATTAATTTTCTTATAGGGTATTTATTTGTAATTTTATGGGTATTTTTGTAATTTTTGAGGCCCTCTTGGGGAATCAAAGTTTTTTTTTTTAATGGCATGGTACTGGATCATTTTCAAAAGTTCAAAGGGAAAATTGTACCATATAAAAGTTTAGAATACTAGACATTTTGGAGTGAATAGTTTAAGGGCAAAAATTTTGCCCAATTCTAAATAATCACTACCAATTCATCCACATGAAGATTTATCTTCTTTTCAATGATGAATGGTTCTTTTTCACTGCTATCTATGGCAGTCCGAATTCGACTTATTGAGGCTCACTTTAGCTCAGTCTCCACTGTGTTGGATGATCACCCTTGGCTTCTCGCTAGGGATTTTAACGCCATTGTCCACAGGCTGATGTTCAAGGGCATTAACGCTACTGATCTGTTTTCAGATTATTCATTTTCTATATTGGGTTTGTTGATCTAAACTTCTCTAGCCTTAAATATACCTTGCGACATGGTCTTCTTCTTGCCAGGCTTGACCTAATTGCAGTTGGATTTATGTTTTTGCTTTTTGTTTGAATAACTCAATCACGAACCTCCCCTTTCACAGAGGCCTTTCAAGTTCTTTGGCTATATAGGCTTCTCGCCCACTGTTTCCTAGTCTTGTTTGAGATAATTGGTCCTTAGAAGTGAGAATGGTAGAAAACATACACAACTTTTCACAAGCCGTTCGTTGTAGAATATTGAGACCTTTGAGCATATTGGAAAAAGAAAACATCGCCTGAGAGCGAGGTTCATGGGATTACATAGAGCCTTAAAGAATCACACCTTCTCTTCTTATTTGAATCAACTTGAATTTGTCTGGAGAAATGATTATGAAGAGGTTTGTCTTTTTGAGGAGTTGTTATGGATTCAGAAAGCAAGAAGTGACTGGCTTGATTAACCTTTGGCAATAGAAACATCTCTTTTTATCACACGAAATCCAAAATTAGATGTCATCGAAACGCTCATATTGAATGCCGAGTATTCTATATGGAGCTTTACTCTAATGATTGTTAGCCTCTTTTAATTTACTTCAAGAAGTGCTAGGGGTTTTAACGGGATTCACTTCAAAAACAGCCTTTCATGTTTCTTTAACAGAGAGGTGAATTAAGTAAATTAAATGAGTCAATAAAGTTAGGAGTAAACTATCAATATTTTATAAAGTTGAACAAATTTAATAACATTATATACAATTTTATTAATATTTTAATTAATTTAATAACATTATATATAACTTTATTAATATTTTAATTTTCAAAAGTAATATTCCTTATGGTAATTTACACGTTTAAAATTAATTTTAACTAAATCAATTAAACATCTTCAATTCTATCAAAATTAATTTTAGAAAAATAATATCCAATACATGATCACGTTATAATATAATTAATTATAATCAAAATCAACCATGTTAATTAATTTGTTCATAATTAATTATACCTAATTGCAATCCAAATAGGCGGTAAATGTTTAAAACAAATTAATCAATTGTAAAACTAGTGTTGACGAAGAGAAATTTGAATATTAATTATCCAGAAAAATAAATTATGAACAAGTAAGATGGAAAAGTAATGAGTTAAGGGGAGAAAGATTGCAAATAGTAATTTATCTTGATTTAGCTCTAATCACTTGAGCTTACATCTAACTAGTCCCTAGAAATCTTTTGCTATTTTCACCATTATTATCTAAACTAGGTATTAGTTGAAAGATTAGGCAACAACACATAAAAGAGAAGGCGAATTAGGTGTTTGACATATTTTCAATTAAACACAAATTTTACACTTAGTTTAGAAAATTTGAAGGTGCAATAGAAGTTTATCAAAACTAATTTAAGTAAACTTGAAATACTTTAATTGCAAGGAGTTTTCAAAAGGATATTGAATATAAGCATAGAAAACCGAATCTCCTAGAAAAACATATTTGCAAACCTTTAAAACAAGAAAATTAATAATTTGAGTAAAGGAGATGAAATCCAATTTATCAAAACAAAGTTTTAAAGATAAATAGAGTTTCCAAAACTAGGAACCAAGAGAACAAGAATATAAAAGTATAGGGATTGAGATACTACACATATAGATTTATCCTCATTCTGCCCAACCGTAACACTATAAATTTTTAAACCAAATTTTTCTCAACAAAAGGTAACTAGTCAAACTCAACTTTGCAAAGCTCTTACCAATGATTAAAAGGTATCTACCATAGTAATAAAGAGTAAAAGTTATTTGTCAAACTCTATTGTGGTAATAAAAGGTTTACCATGATATAATAAACAAGGAACATTATTTCAAAACCCCACTATAGCAAAAAAGAGTCTACCATAGTAATTGAGAATCACATTAACTTTTAAAAAAAGCTTACCATGATAGAAAAGAATTTTTCATACAATAACTTAATTTTAAAAGTCAACTACCATGATAGATAAGGATATAACATAGTAGAAAGAATTAAACATAATAAAATAGACCTACCATAATAATTTAAGAAGAAGCTAAATTAAAAGTGTACTCAATGGGATCCGATTCAAAACAAGCATTTAAAATCCAAAATATTATATACACATAATGAAGACCGAAGCATGGTTTCCATGTTGGATTGGGAAGGCATAGTGGAAGAATAAAAATTTAAATCCCCAATTACTATTGCGGACCAATTGAACTCGTTTAAGTTAAGGTAGATAGAAGAGTTACCTTTCTGTCTTCAAATTTTTCACATGCTTTCTTCAAGTGTTTCGGACCTCAGGAGCTAATAACGTAGATTTACTCCCTCTACTAGTATCCATACAAACAGCTTTCAGCTCAAACAGCATGCTAGCGCTCAAAACATCTAGCTGTTTTCATAAACATTGAACTTCTCTTTTCTCTAGGGTGTTTTCATGGCTCTCACTGTGTTTTACTGTTAGGACTTTTTCTGACTCTCACTTAAAGCATGTCCCCTTTTCTTCGAGTGTGTGTGTAATATAATATGTATATATTATATTATATTGTATTGTATTGTATTAGTTTTAAATTTACTTTTATATAATAGATTAAATTTAATAAGTAACATAATAGAAGAACATATCATATCAGTTCTATAATTTGAATTTATGAGATAAATTCAAATTAGATATAATATCATAATTAAATTTATTTAATTTTCGCTAGCTCAAGATATGATTTTCAAAATATTTATGATTATTTTTGAAAATTCAAAGGGAAGTCTAAAAATCCTAATCTATAATATAATACAAATTCTCCATTCCTCTAATATTTTATCATTGTCTAATTAATGTTATAAATATACAAAATTCACAATTAATAATTCATGAACAACCCTATGGAATGCCTCAAGATTTTAGATCATCAAATTTAGATGACCCATGGTATAATAATAGAAATATAAAATCAAGTAGAATATTAAAAGAACCAAGAGATGAAAGAATTTTAGAACCAGATGAAAGAGAAGTAAGTTATGAAACTAACTTTATAAAACCAAATAAAAACAGATTGTAATAATATACCTTTTACAGCTACTTTTAATACACCAAAAAATAATAAATTTATACCAACACCTTTAGCACAATATGAAAATAGACAAATATCTAATTCAAGAATATTGTTAGATCCATCTATTACTTTAGCCATATTTATATATACATTTTGTTGCGTTTTTTTTGTATTTTCTTTCTGGGTTTATAATTATAATTTCCTAACATTATTTCTGCAACTCTGTTAGCTTTTTCAAATTCTTCTTCATTTATTTCATTTTCTCCTCTTAATTCTCTTTCTATTTCTAATTCTAATTTTTGTTTTTTATTTCTTTTTCTTTTCTTTTTGCATAATTTGTTCCATTTTCTCTATCAAATATTTCTAATTCTAATTTTTCTATTTTTGCATATATGAACCATATATTATTATTTATTATTTCTTGTCCTTTTCTTAATTTTTCTATTTTTACCTTAGTTTGTTTTATATTTTTATAGATATCTTGTTTTCTTATTATTTTCTTCAGTCATATAGTTATCTTCAACTATTATCATTATATTTACTTGTGATCATTCTTCTTCTATATTATTATGACAGTATATTCCTAAAGCTTCCATTATTCTCTAAATATTATGTTTTATTAAACTTTGTTCATTTCTTAGTTGTTCTGTATCATACTTTATTTTTTTTAATTGTTCATTACAATATTTCTTTAGTTGATATACTTTTTGTTCTAAAAGTTTAGCATATTCTTTCAATCTCATCATTTTTTCTCTAGGGTTTTCTTTTTCTAATATTATTTGTACTTCTTCTAGTAACATTTTTCATTTTCAGTCCATGGATAGGGTTTATGTAACACTTGCCCTGAGTTATCCAAAAACCACATAATTCAAATAAACTAAGTGTGGTTAAGGAATTAATCCTCTAACCAACTTAAGAAATAAATCATTCAAAACCTTAAAAAATCTATTAGGTTCTACATATGGCACACGGAAGCAAGTTAGACGAAAGTAAAATAAAAAGATGTTGTCATGACAGTAATATTGCTATCATGACAGCCCTCCTGGGCCAATTTTCAAGATTGGCTATTTTTGCTGTCATGACAGCACCTCCGGACTAACTTTCAGGGTGCACCATTTCATGATCTGACCCCTAATCGGAGCGATTCTAAATCTCACATGTCACTTTTAAATAGTACTATTAGTATACCAAATTTTGGAAAGATCCAACGGACGGATTAAATTTTGTGCATGTTGCAACATTATCAATTATTGCTGTCATGACAGCTCCTTTGGACCAAATTCCGGAATGCATCGTTTCTCCATCCGATATCCGATCGACATGATTCTAAAGCCCACACGAAGCTTATAAAATTTTTACTTGTGACCCAAATTTTAGAGAAATCTAACGATCGGATTAATATTTGGACGCCTAGATGCAAAAGTACAGGTTTTTGGTAAAAACCATTTTCAAAATTGTCCAAATCTCATCCTAATGGTCACAAACTTGTGGGAACACTTTGGACACGTCAAATAGGACTAAAAAAACCTAATAGAACATTTAAATGGTAGAAAAAATCTTTTATACCAAAATTTGACCACTCGAGTGCCATTTCCCAAAAGGGAGCCTAAACCCCCAAAATGCACAAATCACACAAGAGTGGCCAAAAACTATTCCAAATATCATATATACATATGAATACACACGTTAAATATTTTCACTTGGCTCAGAGATCTCTGTGGGGCCTACACACCCACTCTCTCTATCCAAGGTATATGTTTGCCCATAACACACCATTTGCAATGCCATTTTGCATTTGCTTGTGGAATCACATATATATCAAAATAAATATTTGCTTGTAGTGGAAACTTGGTCTACTAAATAAATCCATCAAAATCACATACCATAGCCAAGTTTCCTAGCCACAAGTCTATAAGCAATTAAAAATTCATACACAAGCCATA